CTTAAATGTCTCAAAGTAAACTTTTTTTAAGAGATATTAAGGCCCTTAATTACTGTCTTAGTATTTCTTCCCCACCTTATAACATAGTGAAGGCACATTAATGACATAAAATGCCTTATCTTTTCACTGACTTGACCCACTCCCTATCGTTTCAAGGGTACAAGTTTTAAGCCTCGTGTAGATCAGTCCCAGCTCCATCTTTTAATGTCCAATATCTACCACCTTGCAAAGGTTTTTAATTTCCCCTTTACTATGCATCCAAATCACCTGAAAAAAAAATTTAGCGCATGTGAGGCAAAATGTGTTACAGAGTGTTTTCTTAGATTAAGCAGATCAGAAATGAAAGAGCAACTTAAACACCAGCTACAAAATTAGCTGATCAGATACTGCAACCCAGCTGAAGTAAATGCATTTCAATCACTAATATCGGATGCTGCTCTCCGGAAAAAGCAGTTCAAGATAACGACTGAGAGTGAGCAGGGTTACAACTTTCCAAAATTAGCCTGACATGATCTAATTCAGCTTCAGAGGGAGTTAGATTGGGCCACGTGCCCACAGCAACATGAGTCCAACTGCTGCCTCTCAAAACCAATAGTTAAATGAAAACTCTCTTATTACCACCATAATTAACCTGACCCAGTCACATATATTAGTAATTACTTTTTTTTAATGGTAGTTTTTGTCCAAGTTTCCCCACAACTCTGTGTGCACTTAAAGACAGACTTCTACATACATATTTTATATACCTAGCAAGAAGGCTGGCAAGGAAAGGCAAGGATGTTCCACTGGAAAGATAAACGCATCTTTCAGTGTTCCAGAATAAAGAAATAATTTCCTTTGCTGTGTGAGGCAGTCTCTTTATATCCAAATCTCAGTGCTTTTATTGAATAAAAGTTTCCTAAAGCCTCTAAAAATTGCAGCCACCATTTGCTGTTGGTGAGAAGAATGCCCTACATAATTTTCAACAGTAAGTACCAGTAATGCTCAACTGTTGCTGCCAGGAATTTTTTCCATATATCATACAAAAATACATTCTTAACACTCAGTTGCTCTAACATTAATTTATTTGCAGAGCCAGGAATGCAGCCTTGAGGGAAAAAAAAATAATTAAAAATTGTTTTGTTGCTTTCATCTTGATGTTATTTTAACGTGACTGTTTCATTACAGCAATATGTCTATGACCAACGAGGGAGATCATTAAGTCTTTAGCTACTTAAGTTCTATTTAACTGGCCATTATGAATGATTGAGGAACTAATGAATTTGTCTTCAAAACAGTCTCAGAATTTAGAAAGCATTTTGTAGACACAGGAGGCAGATATTTGGCAAGTCTCAAACTAAATATTTGACAAAGCCAAAGCAAACACATGTCTCAAAACACTGACCCAGGAAGCCATAGTTGGCCCTCTTTAGGCAGGGTTAAGGGGTATATGAACATACTGGCTGAAGTTAAGATGGAAAATTTTTTGTCAATTTTTTGTGATTTAGCTAGGCAGAAGAAAGTATATTTTTCCCCAGAAGTGCAAGCTTAGATTGAGGACAAGTGGTTGTTTCTGAACTTCTGCGTTTCAACAGCTCCAAACTCCACAACCAAATCTTGAGATTCAAACCACCCTGCTCCAACCACTGCTTCTCCCGGCATCAGGAAACAGCTATCTCAGTCTTTGCATTTTTAATACCTCTAGACTGTGGGTTCTAGACTATAACCTATCCTACAGCATTTGCAAAATTCTAGCTGGAGGGATTAGCAACCAACAACTACTCAAATCTGCCTGGATTATCTTGAAGATAAAAGGGAAGAATATTATGACTACTCAGATGTATGATTGTTTTAAATTACCAGCTGCACATTAAGAAGCAGTAAAGATTAAATTTAAGGCTTCCAGAACCTGTTTGTTCTTAATCTTATTTTTCATTTCTAATAAAACTTGTTACAAAACAGAATGGATAACCTATATTTATTCCCTGATCAAATATGAACTAAAAAAACCCCAAAAAAACAAAAAACCAGAGAAGCTATTGCATTCTACCAGATATGGTTGTGTGATAAATACATTTTGACATCCTAAAACCAACATTGACATTATCTTAAATATTACACTTAATTTCTATAATTGCTATATTTTATGACAATGATAATTTGTTATATCTAACACGTATTAAGATCCTAACTTACTTTCATCTCCTTGAATCATTTATAGTCTAGCTACATCTTTCAACACACCACTGTTACTTGTCATACAAAAATTGCAACCAAAAGACTGTATAAAGTAATTGTTTTATTCCTTCATTATTGTTCTGGATGGATTTAGCTCAATAACCTAACTATTCTGCTGTTTCCACAGATCCTTCATACAGCCTTCAAGGAAACATTTTAAAAAGAACAGCTACAATTTTCCTTAATAATTAAACTTTAAACTGACTAAGGTCATCAGTAGTGTTTACAGGTTCCATTAGTTTTTAAACTATAGCTGAATTTACACTTGTTATTCCAAGAACTTTTTATGCTGTGTGATTTTACTGAAAATCAGAAGAAAAACATTTACAAATGCTTAGGCTTCACACAATTAACTGTACACCAGTCACCTCTGCTTTGAAATTTCCAGGATCAAAAGAACAGTTCTGGGAGGCCACATACATTACTTTCTGTCATTCAAGAACTATTCAATGTGCAACACTTTTAATGCTTTATCAAAAATATAGATGAAATAGTGTTCTTACAGTTCACAGGCAATAGTGAAACAACCTTCTGCGGAAGATTTCCTGAAAGCTATGGTAACACAGATTGCCACAGCCTGTGCAGCTAAGCTTACTATTGCCCTTGAAGCACTCAACTTTAATAGAAAGGCTGGAAGAGGGCCCAAGTAAGGTATCTAGTAGTTAACACAAAGCTTCCCAAAAATTCCATTAAAACTGAATTTTGCCAAAGAAAGAGGGCTGTTCTCCATGTTCAGATGGCAAAACTGAATCTTACAGCACCAAAATGGGTTCTGGAAGTGGTTGAGAGGGCTGAAAAAGGGACCATGGAGACTCCAGCACTTGGAATGGAGGTCAGTAATGTTGTAGGTCTCCGTGTGCCACAGCCTACCCATTCTTTCACCCTTCCAGCTTCCTACACTGTATCCTCTGCCTCCACAGTGCTATGAGTGTGCGGGATATAAACAGTCAGGAGTAGCCCCATCTCTGTGGGATGTGTGGCAAATGAGGCCATCCCTGCTACTGGAATGGCCCATCTCCATCTCTTTACAAATAAAACACCAAAGTGGCAAATGAGGCCATCTGTGCTACTGGAATGGCCCATCTCCATTTCTTAACCTTGTCAAAGCAGACAGACAACTGTGCTCGGTAGCAATCTACTTTGCTTATGCTTATGCCTAAAGCCAGATTTGCCTATTATGAAAATGGAAGGTGACACAATAATACAAAACAGTTTGAGTCAGTAGAAATGTATGCTGCAGCACTCAATTACAGCTGGGTGAATTAAGGACTGTGTTAAATTTAATCTCCCCCCCCACACACACTTTGCAAATCAACATAGATCTTTCACTATTAAAAATTCCATATAAAAACTATTTGAAGATCTTATCACTCAATAATTGAATTAATTCAGCTTGTAATTTCTACCCTTGAAGAAGCACAAGTCATTTTGTAGGAACCTGGTTTTCCTATTTTGGGGGCACAGAAAGGGACAAGGAATTATCTTCACACTTTTTGTTCCTCCTGTCTAATTTCCCTCTACAACACTAACTCCAGTCACATTTGGGGAGCACAATCCAATGACTACTACAAGAGTCGAGTAAGAGTCTGTTCTGCATTGTGCAGTGCTGAGCTGAGACACTGATTCTAAATGGTCACTATTTACTAGTTCTACAAACAGCCTTATCAACCAAAAGGCACCACGTCTTATCAACTTTCTTTACCCATTTATATTGTATGCACTTTCCCAGTAAAAGGCTGTTTATTTTTTTAGTATGCCAAGCCCTCATTTTGATCACACTTGTTTACAAACACTCCACCCTACAGCCATTTTTGAAAGCATCAGTAATTAAAGCATCGGGATCTTCACGCTCAAGTTAATTCAAATACTATCATTCCTAAACATAAACTATTCCTTTTGCATTCCACAGCTCTAAATGCTACCCAATTAAAGACATCTTCATTTACAAAACACTTTCCATTGATACAGAACTCTCAACAAACGGAACAGTTGTGTCTCCCTTTACATACCTAACTGTATTTAATTTCTCTTTCACAATCCTTATTTAGAAAAGGCTATCCAAATGTTTACCTTAGGCCACTAACTCAGCCCCTCAGTTCTTAACTCTTGGAACACAGCACAACAGTGTGCCTGCTAGTTATGATTGTGCTTCTGTCACAGGAGGTTAAGCATTTGATCCCTTGATTTAGATCCATATGTTATGTTGATTTTATAACAGAAAATTACGTTGCTCAAACCAGTATTTTTGAATATTATATCAAAGTTAACGCCTACCAGAGATATGCAAAACAAAGAAGTCAGATTTCAAAGCACTGCAAGACTGTTGGAGAGAATCTCTACAGTCTGATATAAGACCGGTTCTACCACTCCAAGCTACCTGTGCACCATGACTGAACAGACAGGCCAGACTATCCAAAGGTGAATGAACCTACTGGCCTGTTTTTAACAGAAGTCATGAATCCTTAATATCCCCACAGGCTTATGAGCTCGGGCATCCAAATATCAAAACACCCAAGATCACAGACCATTTTGGAAAATGTAATCTGCATTCAGAAGTCACCTATAGAAACAATCCTGCTGTAAATATTTAGCTCAGTCTTTGTGGAGCACTGTGGAATATATGTGTGATAAACTTCGTAAGTGAAAGCTCTGTTCTGTTTGCCGTCTCCTTGGTATATAAATAGAAAAGTCACAGGTTTCACATTTAACAGTACCATGAAAGAAGCATCTTTCTCTAAAACATTTAAACCACAAAATAGCATAGAGGGAAACATTTGACTTACTGTAAGGTGTTGTATCAGTAGGATCAGGAGGTGGAAAATTCTCTGTGAAGTTGACATTACACAAGTCCGTACTACAGCAGCAGAAGCGGTATGTTCCATTCTGAATCAAGGAAGGGGTGGTTGTAACTATACACTCCTCAAAGTGACACTCCTGTGGGTCTCCTATATGAGACCAGCAACCTGTAAAAAGAGGTAAATTAAAGAACCTTTCTTAAAGGAAGCATAAAATTAGTTCTATCAAACAGACAGACACACCTATAGAAATCCATACATTACCTAATTAAACATTATGAAGTGGGGTGAAAACAGTTACCATAATCTGCTTATCTGACTTTACTACTACCTTTTAAATCAAAACCTGAAGAATTTCTTTTAGAACTTCCCACAGTCAAGGAGAGGAAACATGGGCAGCAATGAAGGCCAACATCAGAGGTGTCCAACTGTCACCTTAATATGATAAAACTAAGCCTTCAAAGCACAAGCATGCCATTCCCCATTTCTCTGGTACCACAGACCATATCACCACCCTCTGGTCCAGAGTCTAAATGAATTATGACCTAGTCCCCTCCCTTGGCCACAAGACTGCGTCTATGTAGTTTGGTGCTTCTTGTACAGTTTTCAAAATTCTTCCTCACTGTCAACATCACTGGGTTTTTCTACAGTTATTTCTTGGTTAATACCAGGCCCTTTCTCCCTGCAGCAACTGTTCCTTCCCAAGTATGGTCAATGGCAGTTAAATGTCATTTATGTACAGATGTCTGGAAGGCAAAGAGGCAGCAGGGGGGCAGAGGTGAGCAGTCAGTCTGCCTCCTTCAGCAGATTGCCAGATCAAACATGAAACAACATGGAGTACAACTGCACAGCTGTTTGTAAATACCAGCTCTCATTCAGCTTTATACTAAATTAACTTGCATCCAAGTAACAAAGAGCAGAGTCCCTGAGAATGGTAATCAAAACGTCTCCAGCAACTGCAAGGCTCTTCAACCCTCCTACCATCACTCTCCCCCCACAGAACAGCAGTGAATTGTGCTACTGATGTGTGACAGTTTTGTGGCGCAGCTGGAGTTTCCTTTGTAAACAAACATCCAACCAATATGAGTATACACTTTTTTACTTAATGAGACACTTATTGTTAAATTTATCATTACATCAATATGTATACTGAAATTCAAGAAAGCCATCTTGACATCACAGGCCTCTGGACATCCTAAGTAACAAGAAATTTGACTGCTTTTTCCTTCAACTGCGCCTTGATATCTTTGGTTTCTTTTAGAAGTCATTTATTTCAAAAGAACTTTCTGTTCATATTTAAAATTGCTAAATGGCAAATTTATAATTATGCATTTGCAGAATGCGCAAGAAGCCTAATTTTGCAACTGTGCATCTTTGTATCTGCTGGCTAGATCACAAAACATGAAATAAGTAGCAAAACTACTGCGCTTAAACTGAAGTGTTCCATACCTTGTTTTACAAGATGTATGTCTCCTTCTCGTGTTTTTTCCCAAAGTCCATAGCAGGTACTACCTTTCATGCACAAAATTGTGCCATTCTCCTGGGAGATTCGGCTCTCACTGACTCCATGGTCCTGCTGATATGGGTCCTTAAAAGCACACAGCCGCTCCTCACTCTGGGTGGCTTTAGACAAAGAAAGAAAAATAATTTCTGTCAGTGATTCTATGCATAAAATATTAAGGACGATTAAGGTCTTCTGGAAAGACACACTGAAAATCATCCTGAATTATATGTATCCATTCTTTAAACTCTACTCCCACAGACAGAAATAAAAGTGAGGTCTATCCCAAAGTTACTTTCATACAGATGACAAAAAAACCCTCGACAGATGTCACAAGATGAATGTGCAAATGTTTGAAGTTCATAGGTGCAGAATAAAAACTTCGTTGCACAGTTTGCCATCATCTGCATCGCTTGTCCTCAAGCATAAATTACAGAGCTATTTGTTGGTTTCTCCAACAACTGCAGGTGTTACCTAATTGTTTACAGATCCTAAACCAAGATGATCTTTTTCAGACTGCACCCAGCCCAGTGCCTACTGAATTCAGAGGGTTTTTTCCACTCTCTGGCTATTGACCTAGCGCTTCTTTTTCACATGACCCAGCCACTGCACTGACATTCAGTGCTTTTTCCTCAGGAGCTGATCAGTTTGGGCTCTTTCACACAATTTCATTAATGACCAACAACCAAACTAGCAGAATAAAGCCCTTACAACTGACCAGCAGGTCTGGGAAACACTGCCTGTAAACAGGAGCAACACTGCGTGTGAAGTCTCCCTGTGGAATGTCCAGCAGCAACATCATAAAACATAAAAAGAGAGCACAAAAATAAATACCCCACCTACCACCTAAAAGATTTTGGGTTTTTTTTTTCATTTAAACAAAACTAAAATCACCCACAAAAAGTATCCTGATTTTTATTTCATCAATAAATTTCAAAAATGTAGTATCTTAACAACTCATATGTTTGAACTGCCTCTGTCATCTTTTCTTTAGGAAGAATAAACACATTTAAACAATAAATTCTTCAAAAAGGCAAGAAGTTCAAGATAAATAAATCCTACATTTGTAGCGAGTATATTTAGAATATTTTCATTCTTCCCTTAGTGATTTTATAAAATGCATGGAAAGCCAGGTGTGTAAATACAAGGCACTTAAGTATTATTCAGAAGTACAGTTCAGCAAACAGCCAATCACAGTAAGAATTTGTACTAGGTTATTTCAACAACTAGATTTCAACCAGTTCTTTAACTCCCATTAAAGTATTGGTAGCAAAAAGATGCAATGTGAAGTAGATTGGTCTTTTGGGAAAACAGATTTTGAACTTAAAATAAAATTACACTGTATGTAATTTTAAGTTACGAAAGGTACTGTATAAAATAGTTCCTCACAGAGGATTTATTTATTTTATTATTCTACAGCACTGGCCCCAAAGAAGCCATTTTGCAGCAAGGCAGACTTACTGCAGAAACACTTTCAGTGCATCCCCAGCACGGATGATTTGGTAATAAAAAGAAAAGCCAAGAGACTCAGATACGTGTGTCTCACTTCCAAGGCCTTTGCTATTCATTGAGGAGTCAAAATTCATAGTTCTTTTATGCTGAGGCAACCATAAAGTGCTGCACCACCAAGAAGAGCATTCAGTCAGTGTCTCCCAGTTTATTCTGTGGCTGCAGTAACTAAAATAGCACAACTTAGCTTATTTTTCTAGTGGTCTGGTAGGGCGTGTATGAGCAGTTGAGCTGCACGTTGGCTCAGTGGTGGTAAAACTCTCAGCTGAAGAGACAAGAACTTCTTCAGCCAGTGTAATTCAATCACCTGCAGCTCCACGTACCCCAAGAACCTGGCTGGCAGTCTGTGCTGCTCACCCACCTCTGCACAGGGGTCAGTGCACTATTAACAGTTTACATACAGAACTAGAGCTTTGCAGTGATAAATACATTTACTATGAAGCAGTACTTGATAGTCAGAAACTCAGTTGCCTAAATTTCGTATCCAATTTTTTTTTAAATCTAAATGGGTAGAGCTAGTCAAGTTACTGAGTACAAAAAGGTCACACATTAACAGCCAGCATATGCTGCCTCCAGCAGTACTTGCCAGTTGCACGTAGTAGTTTTATTCTCAGGAACAGCTGAGTATGCCAGGCGTGAAGCATCTGTCCTGCATTCTCTGCTCCATGACATGGGACTGGCCAAGAGACAACGTATGAAAGGACAGCACTCCACTGCCATAAGGGAACTGGAGCTGACTAACTTTTTGAAAATCAAAAGAAGAAAAAACTATCAGAATTAAAATTTTCAAGACTAAAAATGGGATAGAATTACACAGTCTTGTGAAATAGGGCCCATCTGCTCCAAGGGACACCACGAAGGTTTTAAAATCCATCGTGAATGATAGCTGAGTGGGGCTAAGGCCATCCAAGATTCTGGTTGTTTACAAAATGCTCAAATTGCTGCAACATAAGCCCTTTCATAATTTGACTTGACTATGAAAAACAAACTTAACAGAATTTATGAAACAGACAAACGAATCTGGTTTCCTTATTAAAAGAAAAAAAAAAAGTAATTCCAGGAAAGTCCACTTTCATAATACCTCAATAGGTTTAAAAAAAAAAATAAATAAATTTAACCTCTGGATTAATGGAAGGGAAAAAAAAAATCCCAAAACATTTTGGTTTTGCTTTATACTCAGAAATACAGTTGCATGTGTCATGTCTGTTTTCCAGAGTCTGAGACAGCTTTAATTGCTAACTATTCCGGTCTCTTCATCTTTCTATAAATCTCTTAGCATCAAGGTTATGCAGAAGATACTTGAAAAAAGAGGAGTTGTTAACTGTCATGCTAGATGCTGTCCAACCACACACTACAGAAAATATGAGTTGCTATCAAAGGCTTTTCTGATTTAAAAGATTTACATTGCCCTACAAGAATACCTGCAGAGGGGAGGAAGGGGCAAGCATGGCAAAATACAATTCACACCGCTAGCAACCTGTCTATCAGTTTTCCAGTAAAGTAATAAAAATACAAGTTAACTTGACACATTTTACTGTCAGATGATCTCAGTGGGAAACTTTTCCAACAAAAAATAAAGGTTACTCATCCAACAACTAGAGTTTTCATGCTGATCACTGCACATTCCTACTTCGATTATAACTTAGAGTAGAACAGCCCCTGTGGGAGCAGTACCCACTGCAATACTCTGCTGACCCCTGCCCCTTCCCTGATGGCATGGAACATCTGGAGAACAGGGGACACGGAACAAAAGCTACTTTATTTTTCTCTATGGCCTCTGTAGGTTCATTGTTGAAGTTGTAATGCCGAAGAAAATCGGGTAGGGCGTTCAGATGTACAGAAACCATCTCGAAGAACAACAGAATAGATGAGCTGCTTCAGTTTCTTTGCATGATTTTGGAACATTCCTGCTCTGGGAATCTGGCATTAAGGTTTTCTTCTTCCAGGCAGTGGAACCTAGTCAGATCTGAAAAAATTTTAGTATTGGAATGTTTCTAGGTCAGGTCTTGAAAGCCACCTCTATCCTAGAGGAGTACGCCTTAAAGCTTGCCCAAAAGAAGTAATACAAAATACTACTACAAAAATGACACAAAAGTGCTGGAGTGCCTGCTTCAAAGTTTACCAAGTCTAACAGAAATCTTACTCTCCCGGGTAAAATACTGTGGTTTATTTGGATTTATGCATGTTCCCCATGGATTACCTTTTCTGTCAGTTTTCAGTCATCACGGGAGCCAACAGGTATGCAGGCTGCCCTCCGAGCTCAAACACACCTACCCGTCCCTTGGGAGCTGTGCATCTGCAACATTTGAGGGCAACCACTAACACTCTCTGTAGCAGTTTAGCTGGAAACAGTTCCAAAGCTGCTGCTTCCAAAACTCAATCCTTGGAGATATTCAAAAGCCATCTGGGTATGGTCTGGGGCAGATGGTTCTAGGTGATCCTAGATTGGACAAGATGACCTCCAGAGATTCCTCCCAACCTCAACCATTCTGCAAGGCTTGCAGGTCTCCAGGTACTCAGTGTGCAGCAACTGGCCAAAAATTATTCTTCAGCTGGGCTACCTGCCATTTTTTGCCTCCAAGGCAGGCAAAATGGCAGGGTAAGGCTAGAACTACTGGATTCTCTAGTTTGTCTTCAGTTCAAACAGATACAAACCCAAGGAAACACCTTAATGTTAAGATCTTCATTAAACAACAAGAGCAATTAAAATAAACAACTTATCCTATGAAGACTGAGGTTCCTGCTCCATTTGATACCTCCAGTTCACTTGTAACCTGTCAGAAAAACGAAAGGCAAAGCCCCAGCAGACTCGTGCTCACCAGACACAAAGGTCCCACAAGCAGCTCACTGTGCAGAGCTCCTTTCCTTACACATTCCACAGACCCAAAACATACCAGCAGTGTATCCTCAAATTGGCAAATGCAGAAGCCATTTACAGATGAAGCTATAAACTGTATCTGCCCAGACATGAAATGTCCCAGCACACAAATAAAACCAAGACCTAGCACCAAAATAAGTGGTGGCACAGGTTTCACGGGACATCTGCTGCATGGCTGAAGTCGTCTTTCAGAGCCCTGAATTTACCTTTATAAGGCAGATTTCACAGTAAACTATATTTATTCATCACACAGAACTCATTATACAGTCAGGTCTTTTCTAATTCACCTTTAATGAAAGACCATGAGAGAGATGTTGAAACAAACAAACGGCAACTGAATCCCTACATGACATACGCCACTGGAAAATTTGCTGCTACAACTAGAGAAGCAACAGAGAGGCTGACACTGAAAAGGACAAAAGTAAAATCCAAACAACACATCATGAAGGATTTATAATGAAATGCCAATTTTCCATTCCTCTTGAACCTGGGTACCAGACGAACTATGTCAAAATAATTCATTAAAAATTGTAAAATGAACTCAAGCTTCTGTTCTCTCATCCAGCAGAGGTTTCCAACAAAGACAAAAAGGGAAGGCACCATTCCCAGAAGTTGTACCAAGGGAAAAACCAGCGACAGCATAGCAAGCTCGTCAATTCCCTATCACAAACCAGAGGGGAAAAAAAAAAAAAAAAGAGTTCTGTTGCTCTCCAGCCCATTTTACACCTCTGTTTA